TATATATACTCTTGTATCCCGCCCCCCCCCCCCCCCCCAGTGGCACATCGGTATGTCTGTGGACTTACATCGATAGAAACCGGATATCGATACCCGTGTTGGGCATTATGTAGCTTCGGGCTTAACTTCAAACAAACAAATATCTTATTTTTTTACGCCATGCACCTAGCTTGTACAGTTGTCACATTTTTAGAAAGAGTAATTTTCCGTTTGTCGTGCCATCGTTGGAACTATTATCTCCATTATCGGTTATGCTGAAGCTGATGGTCACTATTATTCATATTGCTCGATACTGAAATTTTCATTATAACAAGCAAAGAACAGTGAGACACATCTTTACAGAAACTTTCCACTCTAGATTTGGGCATCCGCTCTCAAGACTACGTTTAAACAAATCAAAACAAACGCACAGAAGTTCAGGGCTGCGTAGTGAGGCGACTTCGTTGGTGTGTCAAAGGAGGGAAAGAAAATCGAGTTTATCATTCATGGTTCGTGCTCCCCATGGCTCGGTGTTAAACTCGAGAGCTTATAACAATATATTTCAGGGATCGATATCCGCAGTGGAAATAGTATAGATAGCCCATTGTGTAGCTTTGAGCTTAATAACTAGCAAACCATGGCCCGTAGAAACGTTGCCGTGGATTTAACACGTACGACTTGACGCTATACTTTCTTGGCGGGAATCTCATGTCACTTAATTGATATAAGAACGTTTTTCTCATAGGAGGTAGAATTCACATTTGTTTCACTGTCTACTTTTTTGAAGTTTAAAACCTCTCATTTTATACAAAAACCTGTAGCAACCAAACCATAAAGCCAGGCAAGCTGTTTTCCTTACTTTCTCTGCACATCTTAATTTTTTATTGCCTTGTGGTAGGTAACAAATCGTTCATTTTTTGTCACAGTTTTTTTTTAAAAACACCTAAACCGTGTCCAGTATTGCAACAATTTACATTTCTTACGACATGTGTAACATATTCTGCGTAAATAAATATATATGTGCATGTGTGTGCATATTACACACTCGTAATATGTACTTCTTTACAAAGGTGAGATATTTGTAAGTTATCTTGAGCACAGTTATTAGGATATGTGCAAGTTGTTCGCATTCACTTTCTGACTGTGGGTGGGGTTAACCGAACGGTCAGCTTACGAATCTCGGCAATGGTTGGAGAAGTCCTGGGTGTCGTAGGATCTTATTCTTGGTGTTATATATATTCTTATGTGGGTGTGTAGTTCTTGGGTTTAAAACCGAAAAGATCGATAACATTAGTTACTCATATGATACTCTTATTTCTGGCATAATAAAGTACAATGCAAATAAAACATTGTACGTGTATTGTTTTAAGCATTTCAGCTAGTTTCTCTGATCCAATTATTGCAAGACGTCACCAGTGCATTATAATCATTGGAAGTAATAATGATATATGAAATTAATGATATTAATTGCTGAGTTTCTTTTTATTTCTGATCTCTTTAGGTAGCTGGTTTTCATAAAAAATTAACAACAATCTTTCCGATACTAATTGCCCCCCAGTGGCACAGCGTTATATCTGCGGACTTACAACGCTAGAATCCGGATTTCGATACCCGTGGTGGGCAAAGCACAGATAGCCCATTGTGAAGTTTGTGCTTAATTACAAACAAACAAACCGATACTAATTATCGTGTTGTCTTTCATATGTATCTGCCTTGGGGTTTGCGTCATTTTTGCTATTCCACTAGACAAGTAATATCCTTCTAAGGAAAGTTTTGGGACACAATTTTTCAGTTTCAAATCTAGCGTTGATGACATTGCGTTGTCGAATGGTTAAACATGGCGCCATGGCTTGCACCTGCAGCTAAACCACTACGATTAACTTTCCACATATACAATCTGTTGGTAGTTATTTAATCTTCATTATGAACCCTCTTGATATGACTTTACGGTCAGGTTTTCCGTTAATGACTTACCGGGGACGTTATATAATCAGTCATTTAGTTGATAGCAGTGATTAATTGCAGTAAGTTTTTATATGTACATTTTTTCCCCTCCTGCAGGAGGATAGCGATCTGACGTTTCTACATGACATTCGGGAAGTCACAGGCTATGTCTTGATCTCATTAGTGACTGTAAAGCGGATTGTATTTCCGAATTTGATGATCATTCGAGGCCGCAACCTGATGCTATTTAATGGAATGTTCACCAATGTCTCTTTTTCTTTATTTATTAACCATAGTACAATAGAATCATTGGAGTTTCCAGCGCTTAGAGGTATGGACATATTTTTCTCTTTTTCATCTAGTATAAATGGTTTTGTTTATTTCTTATTATTTTATGAATTATTTTAATGCACACTAAATCTTAGCTGAAACAAAACTTCAATTGGTGGTATCTGATGGGCAGCATATAATACCTATTTCAAATTGCATATCTAAAAGAAAATTGCTATCACCTGGTAAGTTATTCAATTATTAAAGTTTATAAGTAAGTTTTGTTTTATGCTACACTGGGGGGAAAAAGAGAGTAATTATGTTTTGTTATGTTTTTTTGCCGAGAAAACAAGCGTGGAACATTCGTACTTGGGCCTTCATGTCTGTTGCCAATGTAAATATAAAAGGGAGTGATTCGCGATTTTTAAGCTGTGTTATATGCACAAGATTCAGTGTTTAAATGATATTGGTAATAGTTCTATATATAGATGTTTCTCGAGAAGGTGGTTAAATTGCGGTGGAAGGGTCCAGAACGCCGCTCCGCCTCTTGAGGATTCAAATCATTTGCTTTCCTAGTCTTCTGATTGGAATGTCAAAGCATATCTCTCAAAATCAAAATTTAACCAGTGTGTTTAACCTAACGTCATCGTTATTTAGGAGAATATAACTTATTATCGATTTACTAAGAACGAAAATGAAACATACTACTTACCTCTAAAAGTTAAATGATCCAAACTGTTAGTACTATTATCAAACATTAAAAATCTTCACGTTTGTCCATTTAATTCCTGAAGTTTGTCATTATCAAATTAAAAGTTCAAGATGACCCATGAAGTTCTTTTAGAAACAAGCTTAATGTATTACCGACTTATTACCTTTGTTTATTATGATAAAGTCCGTAGTATAGAACACAAAATGGCTTATATATTTTAACCCCCCTTTTGTCTGTGAAAATTATACCATTTTGTTAAAGCGAAATATAACTTTTTTAAAGTAAGATTTTGTTTGAATTCTTCAAAAATTATATTGCAGTAAATTATGAATCGACTTGAACATTTTTATTGTAAGTGTTATTTTTTATGAGATTCAATTGTGCATTTTAATGAATAAGTAGTAGTTTTTTGTAAGTATATTCAGAGCACAAAACGTGTTCCATACTTTTCCCACGGATTTCAGCATCGTTGGGCATACGCAACCGAAAGTGTACTACTTTGAAAGAGGAATAACAAATAATAAAAATAATGCCACGTTCAATGGCTTTCAGAAGTTTTGTGATAAACTGATGGGCCATTTTTGACAAGATGTGAACCACAGAATACCGAAAACCGCCATTTTACTTAAGATAAGTAAAATAAGTACGTGCCAACAGATGGTGCATTCTTAATAAAATTTTCTTCATACTTGTTTTCTCTAGCAATTAACAGATAAGACATGCATTTTTGCCTGATGATGCATAACGTCACGTGGTACTAAATCAACCAATAACGAATTATCCCGATAATTGTTTACTCTGGTAATACATTACGAAACTGTAAATTATATATTATATATATATATATATATATATAAGCGTCATTTGTAACTACCTTAAAATGTATTTAGAAAACTTTAATATTTGCTATTTATAGAAAGTTTGATCTTGATAAGTGTCCAAATGTTATTCATACGTTTATTTCTATTCAGATATTCTTAATGGAAATGTGGGTTTTTTAAACAACGGAAACTTATGTTTCATTGATACCATAAAATGGAAGGAGATTTTAAGTGGACAAGATTCTGAAGTATTTATATATAACAGCACCAGATCAACAGACCAAGAATGTAAGTTTCCACAGCCGTCACAACTGATTAATAGTATTGTAATAGGTTTCAGAACTTTAACTGACTGCACTTCCTGTTGAAATCGAAACCTCGTCTCGTTTTCTTTCAACAGGTAGTTACAGTCACTTAAAGTTCTCTAATATACTGTCTACTCTGCTTAATGTTCCACAGAAAGTATTGTAATGTTCTATATGAATATATATATACTGTATATAAAGTTAATTGCGTGCAAACCATTTATGTTACATTAAAAATTAACTACATTTGTAATTATTGAGATCTGTTTGAATAGTTTCAAGACTGTATTTTCTTTAATTTAAAAGTAAGTGTAAAAGATAAAAAAACAAAACAACTAACCATTTGACAAAACTTCACTAATCTTTCCATGTCACCATTTAACTCATGAGATACACATCCAACAGAACTTAAGAATATTAGAATGAACTAAGTGCTAGACTGCTAAAGCAATTAAACTAAGCTTAGTTCTTCACATTTATATACCTCATATATCTATTTGTTGGATATACAAGACTGTTTAGCTTAATAATTATTGTTTTATAGGTGATAGTTAACACAAATATCGTTACGTAACTCGGTAATAATCGTACGTTGTATATGTAGTTCAACAGTTCAACTCTTTAAGTTTTTCTCGCTATGTGAGTATTGTTACATCATAGCGTCTCGTAGTTTGCAGTAAGTTCGAGGCCTCAGTTGGACAATGTATATATATATATATATATATAGGCGACCAAGTGAAGTTCAGTTAGAAATAGAAAGGAAGTCAGAAAAAGTTAAGTTAGTGAAAGTTAGACTGCGTGATTGTTAGCTTATCCATAATGGGCGATATATTAAAGTGAGTTTAACAGAGATAAGGAGAATAATTTGTCTTGTCAAAGTTTTTCTAAAGTAATTGAACTCGTTTGTGTGGACTTTGACGAAAAGGAGACAATTTCTAAAGTTCAAGATACATCTGTTGTAACCCACGGAGTAACATAAGTGAATCTATTACAGATTGTTGAGTAAGAAACAGAGTAAATAAAAATAATTCGTCTTATCAATTGGATTCTAAAGTAATTGAATCAGCCTGGGTGGACTTTTGACAAGAAAAGAGAATTATTTAGAGTTTTAAATACAACTGTAATATCCTATAGTGTAAAGAATTTTGTACATACGTTTGACTTGTTTTGAATATATTCTTGTTAAACAAGTGGATTGTGTGCTGTTCGTTTGTTGTTCAAATTTATCGCCAACAAGTCACAGACACCTACTGTAAAGAAACCAAGCCCATGTACACAAAACCCTGACACTATTAAACAAATTACTAAAGTAGTGTTTTAATTAACAAGTATATCACATAGCAAATTATATTACAGATTTTAACTCTGGACCTGGGCTTCCAAAACTTAATATCCGTATTATTCAACTTCCCATATCGATCCTTATCATTTTACCACTTAACAGACTAACAATTTTAAAAAGCTAAATCAATTTGTTCATAATTCTTTTATGCTTTGGAGAAAACAAATCTAAACCTTTTAGCCACTCTCTTCATAGCTCATATTCATTAAATAACAGATTCTAATAGCCCATCTTTGCAATTTTTCTAGTAAGTTGATATTTTTTCTGTAACGAGGAAATAAAAACTAAATGCACAAGAGAACCAAAAGGCTATGATGACTGGCTGTGTTGGTTCACCAGTTGAGTCACATGCACTATTAAAGATATTTTTATTCTCAAACACACTAATATCTTGTAAGGTTCAGCTAGCTTAGGAGATATATATTAGTTCTAAATCTAAATGTTAAGCTAAAAGTGCAAAATAATCATCATAAATATATTAATCTATAATAGTATTTAAAATTGTTTGAAATATTAGAACCAACAATATTAATGGAACTAAATTACAAGAAAAATTGAGTCTCTTATAAGCAGTAATAATCTCTTTTACCCCAAACTGTGTAAATAGATCTTTTATTCAGCAGTTTCAATATTTCTTTGTATTTATTGATATAAACGAAACTTTTAAACTGAATTTTAAATATAATTTTATGTGTGGGTGTAACATAAGAACCTGATTTATTGTAATATCGATAGACCATTCTATTCATATATAAGATATATTAACTTAATATATGAAACATAACATTTGCTCTAATGTATTTTGAAAAAAAAAACAACCTTCTATTAAAGTAAGTGTCTTGCAGTAAAACAGTGGCTTTGTAAGGTGGAGACATTTAGAACATTGTTAGAGTAACAGCAAACTGGTAAAGTATGTTAAAAGATTAAAAACTTCTTAGCTACAGGTCTAAAGGGAAGACCAACTAAAACACTTTTTCAGACAACTGATATTTTTTAGGTCAACCTTGTGATGAATCATGTGAAGATGGATGTTGGGGAGAAGGGCCAGAAAATTGCCAAAAGTTTTCTAAAACCAAGTGTTCTCCACAATGCTATCAAGGACGTTGCTATGGTCCTAATCCTCGAGAATGTTGTCATCTTTTTTGTGCTGGAGGCTGCACTGGACCAAAGCAAAGCGATTGTTTGGTAATTTACATGTTGCAAACTGTTTAGTGTGGGATTTCTAATAGTTCTTGGATGTATCCAAACATTCTTTTGAAGACCTTGTGCTGTTTGTCTTTAAATATTATAAATTTTTGGTATTTTTACTGAATTGATGAATGTATACAAATAACTGTGGTTACTTTAAGATTTTGTGGGATAAATTTAGAGTGGAAAAAGGTTTTCTTGTAATTTTTAATTCTTAAAATTCACTAGACTTGTAATGCAGGTGTTCTCAAACTGTAGGTCAAGATCCCACAAGATGCTCCAAAGGGAGTCACAAAGAAGTTGAAAAGATACAACAAATCTTTTAAATGTTTTTTTTTTCTGTAAATATTAATATATTCAAAGCGAGAGTTGCTCCATCTTCACTGTTACAGGGAAAGTATTTCAGTTTTTTGTGTGCAAAACTAACTATAAATAATTATCTCTAATTTTAAATTGATAGGCTAAGGGGAAGACAACTAGTCAAATACACCTATCACCACCTTTATACTGCACCTAAAGCCCAAAGTGAAGAGCACATTTTCACAGTAATGGGCCAGAAACATGAATTGTCAGATATACAGTCCAGTAACTCTAATCACTAAGCAATATCTGACCTTTATTTTTAGTATTCTATATTTTTTGGATAGAATGCTTTAAAGGTCTGGAATAATTTAAAAATAAACAGTGTGTGTGTATAGAACTGTGGAAATGTAATATGTATATATATTTTAGAAAGTTATTTAGTCTCTGTTCATTTTTAATTACCTAATAAATGAGAGAGTTTTGAATATTTGAATGTTCATTGTCACAAAAGATGCTTCCAAAGTGAAAAAGTTGAGAATCCATGCTGTAAAGGCATAAAAAACATCAAGTCAGACAGTAATTAAATATGTGAACTTTTAATTTTTTGTAGAAATAAAAGAAAAAAAAGGTGAAATATTCTTCAGGTTATGGGTTTATTTATATGTAATGTTTTTAATTTCCATTTATAAAAAAAAAATATTATTAATGCTGAAAACAGTTTATATGGATGAATCAGGGAAACAATTCACTGTCATAGTATTATTTCACTTAATGATATTAGGATTTCTAAAAAAATGTTCCTTATCTTTACAATAGTTTTTGTGAAATGTTTATTAAGAATTTTAATGAAAAATGTTTCTGGGATTTCAGGCCTGTCGCAATTTTCATGATGACAATGTCTGTAAGCAGGAATGCCCTCCAATGAAACGCTACAACCCATCAACTTATTCCTGGGAAGATAATCCTAAGGGCAAGTATGCCTATGGTGCAACTTGTGTGAAAAATTGTCCAGGTAACTGCTGTAAAGAGTTCTAGTGTTTAAATTAGAATATAGAAGTAACGATTTTCATAAGTAAAGTGGTTTTCACATAAGTTTGAGTTCTTAGTTATAGTTTATCAGCACAGAGGATTGCATTTTTATCAATTTGAAAACTTGAATAATTTACTTTGATAACTATCTTCTAAATGTTTGGCTTATGGATATGAAAAATAATAATGTTTAATGTTTGTGAAAAATATGACATAATGTTTGCTAGTATTGTTCAATATTTGTTTAAAAAATGAAAAGGATGATTTATTAAATGAGGGAAACTTTATTTAGTGTTATATAACAAGAAAAGGTAAAACATTATAAGTGAAAAATACTGAGCAGAGCATGAACAATTACTTAGAATGCTTATGTTTATGTTCCTTAGTTAATAGAGGTGTTTAAAATGACTGAGGTGTTTAGATAGTAATTTTAAGATTGTATGTTACTCATTATATATAACATTTTTATATTTCAATTAAGAACACCTACTGAAGGATAATGGAGCCTGTGTACGATCATGTCCTCCTGACAAAAAAGCTGAGAATGGAGAATGTGTACCATGTGAAGGTCCTTGTCCAAAATGTAAGATTGTTGAATAGTTTTTTAATTAAGTAAACACTATAATATTCAAAATTAAGTATCATACTGTGATTAGAAAATATTTAATTTGGAATTTTGGATTTAATAAGAAAAGAAAAAGACAAACTAATGTCATCTTAAGATATGAAATTAGTTTATTGTTTAGATCTTGGGAACGTCAACACAGTTGCCAAATGCTTCATTAAGAGATCTAACTAAATAGTTAATTCAATTGTGAATACACTTTTCAATACAGCATTAGTTATAAGTAGTCGCATTTTCTAAATTTTATTGAAAAATAGTTAGAGTTTAAATAACTGTGAGCTGTGTTACAAACATTTGAAATTCTCTTTTGTTCTTGAAAAATTAATACCAAAAAATGCGACTAAGAACCAGGTTTTAGTTTGAAATGTAGGAATATATAAAAAAGGGGGAGACATTATCACAAAATCTTAGCATTAAAATTTTTTCTAGTAAAACTAGAATAAATGTAGAAAAGACCAATATTTCTGCAGTAGATTATTCAATCTTAAAAATTTAATGGCCTGGGTCTGGTCTATTGGTTATTATGCCAGACTGTAGATCTGAAGGCATATGGTTTGTATCCCATTGCCTAGAAAAAAACAAATCTCTCCATACTTTGGGTGCATTATAAGAGTGGTGTTCAAATCCTGCTATTTTTTTAGAGTAGCCCAAGAGTTGGGTGTAGGTGCTGTCGACTAGCTGCCTGCCTTTTAATCTGTTAGAAATTTTAAAATTAGGGGCAGCTAGTACTTGTGTGTAGAGTTATGTAATTGTCCAAAACAAACCAATTAAAAAATTTCAAATATTATTTTTAAGAATTTCCTATTTTTATAGTTTGGCCAAAACTTTTTCTTTAAATCTACCTTAAAATGTAACAGGAATTTTTAACAAATGAATAGCACAAATCAAATAAAAATTAAAAAGGAGAATTGACAAATGAATGAAAGTAAAATGTTTCACAACACAAGTGATTAGTTAACAGATAAAAATCAAATATTGTTTAAGAATTGACCAATATTATTTCCCTAAGAGAGTGATATTATTCATACTTCATGGTGAGAATCGTATGACAAGGAAATACAAATATCAATTTTGGCAGTTTCTTTTTTTTTAGTTTGGTTTAGTGGATAGGACACTCTCAGTGGACCAACAGACCCTTTAATGTCCTTAAATGTTGTATTATGTTAGGATTGACAGATATTTAACTGATGTGGATTATTTTATTTTAGCTTTATGTTATTGTCAAAACATTAATCAAAGCATATCATATATTTTCTCTTTTTAGTGTGTGTTTTTATATACAGCTTCATATTTTGTTTCTTGTTCTTTTGTTTAATTGGTCTCTCATAATAAAACTTCTTGAGGCAGTTAAGTATTGAGAAAGTGCTTTGAAGTTCTTGCATATTTTGTCTATAGATTCTTTACTTTCAAACACAAAACTGTCATTTCACTGACAACCAATCATAATTGTTAGTGTCTGCTAGAAGTACCAGAGAGAGAGAGGAGGTGAATAGTTTTATTATGTAACTATCTGGCTATACCTAAAAAAAAATGTTATATACATTATTTTAAAAGATTTATGGTATAATTTATGGTTTAAAAGATGTTCACTGTTTTCTCACAGTGTATATTTTTGTCAAAACATTATTTATTAAAATAGACCTTTGTGCTGAAATATTTTCCTTCTTTCAGCAGCTTTCATATAGTAAAGTTTTATATTTGCTATATAATATCATATAAAGTTTGTTGCTTTTTGGTTTAACTTATGTAGCCATATTTGCAAACACCACTTATTCAATTCAGTTTATGACATTGGAACTGCTTAGGAAATGTTCTGAGAATAAATTATTAAAGAAAATTATTTCTAAAGTAAAGATGCCACCAGTGGTTCAGTGGTAAGTCTGAGGACATATAAACACTAAGAATCAGGTTTTGATACCTGCAGTGGACGCAGCACAGATAACCCAGATTGATATACCTTTCAAAAAATAGCTGTTCATCCAAAAATGGCCATAAGTATAATAATCCCTGTGGCCTATGCAACTGGGTATTCTGATGTCTTACCACTGAACAAATATAAGTGCAGAGAGTGTGACAGAAGTACTGGTCAATAGGTATAGCAATAAAACAATAAAAAAACAAGCAAAAAAAATAAAGTTGCTAACAAAATATCAATTGTTTTACAGCTTGTATTGGTGTTGAAGTGCTGCATTCTGGAAATATTGAGAAATTCCGTGACTGTACAGTTATTGAAGGATCCATTACTATATTGGAATCAACATTCAAAAATTATACAGATTTCGAAGAGTAAGTGTTTTTGTAACATTTAGAAATTTTTAATTTGAGAAATTATTGTTTTCTTGCTTTTTGATTCGGCACTATTTAGAAGTTATGTTTTAATCTCAGTTTGCTGTCAGTAATTCTCTTTAAAATTTCAACTTAAAGAATGTCAAGTTGGTTTGCATAACCTGCAAAAGGTAATAAATTGAAACTTTATAATTCATTATTAGATCTTATTTAAGTGTCTTCAACTTTTTTAAAAAAAATTAACTTTTCCACCTGTGGATCATTCTTTTTTCTTCCAACAGCTCTCTTGTTAATTAGTCTTGTAGCATGTTATTTCTTTAATAACAAAATCTTTAAAATATAAGTTTCTAGTTAAAACAACTAAAAGGCATTTATAGAGCCTGTAAAACTTACAGATGTTTACAATTGAAATTTTCGTTTTTACCTAATACATATTATTATCAAATTGTATTTTAAATAAGTGAGATCTAAGAATTAGTTCATTAATTTTTTCTCTGTAACCTTCCAACACAGTTTATATAATTTGGTATGATGATCTTAACTGCTTTAAAACTACCAATTTTAGTTATTAATTCTTATCAGCTTTTTTTATGTAACCTACCCATACAGTTGATGTGATCTGGCCTACTTATCTTAACTGCTTTAAAAAAGTGCTATTTTTTAGTTATTCATTTTAATCATTTGTTCTGCATGACTTGTCCACACAGTTTTTAATTATTAATTTTATTAGTTTCTTTTTTATGACTTACTTACATAGTCAGTGTGACCTGGTTTGATGGCCTTAACTGTAATTTGTAACCCCCAAAAATTATAGGCACTGTTAAGTGCTTGACCTTTTCATTGGTTAGTTGTATGATTCATGTACTTTTTTTTTAACATACACATGTATAGTAAAACTTTTTATTTTTCATTCTTTTCTGTACAGAAACTCGACAGGTATAATGTATCCAGCAATGCATCCTAGTCAATTAGAGGTTTTTAGTACTTTGAAAGAAATTACTGGTTACCTCAACATTCAAGCCTCTAACCCATATTTCAAAAATCTGTCATGTTTTCGTAATTTGGAAGTTATTGGAGGTCGCCAGACTACAGAGTAAGACCTAATCTAAATGAAAAGTTTATTTTTCTTTTAGCTAGTTACTATCACTAAAGTTTCATTAGATCTTTCATCATTTATAAATACAAGTTTTCAAGCCAGGTACTATGTTACTGAAATCTAATTAAAATTAGTATAAATTTCTTTTTTCGTTACAAATCCCTATAAATCCTTATATTTTTGAGATGGGTGGGAATTAATTTTTAGCCTCAGCATACCAGCTCATAGAATGGCTCTGAGTTTTTTTCAAGTACAAACATTTAGCTCATAGCTCTATCTCTTGACTGATTCAAGATCTAAGTATAGCCATGACTATTGAGGATTCCCTCTTGTTTTGCATGAAATCTAGCCTAAACAATTGCATGGCTGTTCACATAAAATCCACAAACATCCAATGAAAGGTCAACAAATCATCATTCTGTCTGTGGGTTTGGAGTCAGTATTACTTCACTGTACAGTAACCTAAATTAATTTCACCTCTGGTGAAGAAGAAAATAAATTTTTAACATATATAAGATCATCATTCTGTTGTAACACTGGATGAGGAACTAGACTTCAATTAGCATAAATATGTATGTTTTATTATAGTAAAGTACTAATTTAAACAGCTCTGTACAACAAAAGTATGTTAGATATTTCAATCATTGGCTGTCATATACGTACATGGATTCACTAGTGAAATAACATGTTAGCATGCTCCATTCTTCTGGGGTGCTTTTCCATAAATAACTCACATACAGTTTCAATGTTGATAGCAGTGTCATAATGATTATGTATTAATGCTAGATCACTCAGTCTTCATTCTATTTGTGTACAACTCAGGTAATTATTCAACTGATGGAGAGCAAATGCTGAATGTTCACATGAACATGAACTTAGTGGCAATGTGGCCAAGAGTTTCAGTAACTCCAAAATATTTGGTACACTGAAGCACACTTTTAAGCAGTCAACCAGTATCTATGGCTTGTCCTGGAGAAGTATAGAAAGTCATCTTGTCTTTCATTGATTAAGATCTTCATAATAAATATCAGGATTTGGCAAATCTTCCCTGTAAAAATCTATAGCTTGTCTGGTATCAGAGATAGAAAAATCTTGTGTGAGTTTTGATGATATAAGTTTCTGAATTGATGCTGTTTACTTTGCTCAAATCTAGAGGAGAGATTACTGTTAATGTGGTCAAGAAAATGAATGGTTACTGTTTTCTTAAAGTAATCCTCCATGGAAATATATTCTGCATTTGCACATTGGACTTGTTATTGACTAACTTGTGCCATGCTAACATTAATATTAGATTTGTTTGCAATATTACTGCTGTGTTTGAAGATACGATGTGAATAATCATCAATATTCACTTTCAGTGAAGTCAGTTCTTTACAGCATTGTTCTATTAGGGAAAAACCAGAAACAAAAGTAGTTTTTTTTCCAAACCCCCTTGGAGCCCCCCCCCCCTGTGTATTTGTGTGAATATTCTGATTTCTCATCTTGATGTTCCTTCCTAGATAAAGACCTACATTGATTTATCACTTTAGCAAGTACTAATGAAAACTGTATGATATCCTTATTTCCCAATAAAGGTTAACAAAATGATCACTTAATAAAACTTGCTAAATTTTTATGACCTGATTCTAGCATATGTTATCCCTTTTTTATTTTGTCACTCAAGTCTTGGCAGATGGTCAGTGGAATAGTGACAAAATTTTGTGGATATTTGAATAACATAAGAAGGAGATAGGAATTCTTACCCTGTTGAACCAACAATATGCTTATGAATAAATGTTTAGTTTCTCAAACAAACTACTTATGGTCAGAAACACTAAGCAAAATTAAGTGTTTGGACATTGACGATGATTGAAAGAAATTTTACGTGTTAATTCTTGGGAGTTCAGCTCAGCTGTTTAACATACATTTACCCAGACTGAATGATGAAAAGCAAATTATAGGAAATTGTTTTGAATATATATACAGATAAACATTTTATCATTTGATTCCTTGAAATCTTGTTAAGACAATTCATGAAAATTATAATAACTATTTGTTACTTGCTTACTAAGAGAAAGGTAGTATACTTTTACTTTATTTTTTATCATATAAATAGGGTAACTGTATCATAAATGACCAAGTACCTATTTTGAAATATAAGTGTGAAGTGTTGTTTTCAGACTTATATGAGGTTGCCTAAAACCCCCAAATAATTAAGCTACACCATGGGTATATTAAGATATATAAAAGTAACATCTGGAATATAATAATTAGGTTACTCGGGAGCTACATATTATTATCATGATTTCAATTTAATATTAAGGTGAAATTATTTCATAAGAATGTATGATAAATGTCACACAATACATGGTTCAACTCCATAAACTTTTTTTTTATTCCTATATCTACCTAGGTCGATAGAGATTCCTATAATTTAAAAAAATGCTGTCTCATGATTTAATAGAAATTCGCTTGAAGACCTGAAATTGGGAAATGTTGATTTGTGTTAAACTGAATTCTCTGAAGATAATATCACTTTTTCAGAAATAAATGCCCCCCAGTGGCACAGCAGTATATCTGTGGACTTACAACGCTAGAAACCGGGTTTCAATACCCGTGGTGGGCAGAGCACAGATAGCCAATTGTGTAGCTTTGTGCTTAATTCCAAACAAACAAACAGAAATAAATTAATTACACATAAACTAGTAAATCAAGACAAATAAAAAAAAGAATTAAAAAAATGAGTTGGTACCCAAAATATTATTAGTATATTGAAACATCTTTAGATAAAATTGTTTTCTGTATATAATAAAAATCAAATCTTACAAGCTTTGTGGAAAGAATGAACTAAGAATAGTTTATGTAGGTGTTATTACTATAGAAAGAGTACACTAAATTTTTAGATTAGTTTCCATATTTTAATTTTTGTAAAGATAAATTCATATTAATGTATATTTCATTTATGAAGAAGCTTTTATAAGGTGTAGTTATAATGTTATAAAATTTATACAGATAAATATTTGCAGTTTTCATCATAAAGTTATGCCTATACTGTTAAAAGTTGCTTGTTTTATGAGAAAGCAATTGATAATTGGACCATATTACCCTCTCAAGTTTGAGTTTTAACCATTTTATTTGAAAATCTGATGAATTTGTAACAGATGTAATTGGAATAAATATTTTAACTCAAGGTGCTCATTAAAAGTATTATAATAACTTACAAGTAGAATGTGTTCTTTTTTTTTGTTAAATCATCACTAGATTCATAGATTAATATCCTGTGATTATTTTTTTTTTTACATTAGAATACTATAAAAGTACATTCAACTAATAACACTTTTTTTCAGTCAATATGCTTCATTGCACATCATGCAGACTTCACTTGAGACACTGGGTTTGAAATCATTGAAAAAGATAAGATCAGGAAATGTGATGATCTATGAAAATACAAAACTGTGTTTGGCAAATAGCATCAAATGGGAAGATCTTATGATATATAATACAATTCCTGCACTGGTTCAGTATAATGCCAATGAGGAGTATTGCAGTAAGTATACTCATTGATATAATTTAGAAATTTATTGAGTTTTTTAGTATTTGATATTTGTTATTTTAATTTGTTTCTTGGAAATATTAATTTTGCTTAAAACAAAAAGTATTTCAATATACAAAAGAATGGACAGAAAAATGGGAGTAATATACTTCCTCCAAAAGAGGTTTCAGTATAGAGAAAACATGTTTTATATATCATTTAGTTTGTTTTTACCTTAAAATTTATTTATTTAAAGAACTTTGTATTATTGTAATTCTGTATGGATGTTGCATATTTTGTTCTTTTCTTTTTAACTGTTATCATCATTGAGATAACTGATGTATTTTGTAGGCAATTAATATTTTGCTAAACTGGTGAATATTTGTATCCTTTCCTGTATTAACCCAATGTTGTTATTCAAGAATTATCAACCAAACAATTGTAAGTGATAATGAAACCTTTGTTATGTTGTTTGATGATATATTATTTGCCTCCATCATGAAAAATGACAAAATGATAATGCTTATTATAACACAATTAAAAACATATTTAAACAACTATGTTGCCATATTTTAACATGTACTGAACAGTGGATATAACAGTATTTTTTATGCTGTATTTGTCATAAAGAATCTGTTATTATTTGTGATGAAGATGAACTGTATAGTTTACAAATTTTTAAATAGTTTTTTAATTTTTTGCTACTGACTGGTATCAGGTTACAAATACCACTTCTGATAGTAACAAAACCCAGTTCAATAACAATAGAAATCTACAAATTAAATTAAAACTGGTAATTGAGCCTGTTTAAAGTGATAATTCATGAATAGGAATGTGTATTTGGGTGTCTATCATGAACAGTTCTGTTTAGTTTTATAATTACTAAAAAACTGGCTAATGATTTATGTTTTCACACAGGAAAGAAAAAGTTAGTGTGCCACAACCAGTGTAAAGGAAATCACTGCTGGGGGTCTCATCCAGATGAATGTTTGTCTTGTGAAGCTTACAGGCTGGGAGATACATGTGTAAAGAACTGCACAGAGATGGATAAGTAAGCTTTTATTAAAGGTTTTAATTTGTATATATATCTAGGAAGTAGATTTGTTACTGTCAAAATTCTAGGACTAAGAGAGAGTCATTTATACATAAAGTTGTTTCAACTGCATTATAAGCAGTTTTGAATTTGGAGATAGTAACTAATTCACCACAATAGGTTGAATAGAAAGTAAAATTAAATTATCCATCCTGTTTACATGAATCCTGATGGGGAAGGGAGCTATAAAATGGTACTCAACAAAACTAATGTGTACATGAAAAATGTGATTTTTACACACACACACACACACACCCAAAAAAATTTCTGAAGGATTTTTGGATTAAATAAAAAGTTGAAAAACTTTTGCTGTGAACAGTCTCCTGAAAAGTTTCAGTTTTCTTTCTAGTTGAAGGATTTACATACCATTATGTGACAAAACAAGTATAATATTAAAACTTTACCATCTGAAAGGTGTGTTTTATTTAAAAAGTTTCTTATGATACTATTGATCAATGTGATTTGAAAAATAATTATCTTGACGAAAAAGTTCAAAATGTTTTAAGTTCTTGGAAGTCAGTAAAATCACCAAAAAGATTATAGACTCTTTACTCTAGCGTGTTTATTTCATTTTTCTTAAAAAATTTATAAAGCTACAAAAATGGAAAAAGAAACTAGTAAAAGGTAGTTTTGTGATAACAAAAAGTTAAAACTAGCTATGTTAATACTTAATGTTTGTATGAACAAAAGATAAAATATTGTCTTCTGCAATAGTAAATTACACATCAAAACATACTACTTTAACTCATTACACAAACGTAGCAAAGGGTTAAAAATTACTATAGTATCATTAACATAGTTGAAGGACAATAGTGATCATTATGAAAATCCATTAAATAACTGACAACATCAAACTAATAGTAAGCCAACTACATAGGTAAGAATGAAAAAGGTTAATCCTCAATTTCTGTCTCTTGATTGTTCAGCAATAGGTTTCAGGGCTTGTAGTACTAGAATATGGGATTTGCTCTCCATGCTGGATCCAGTGCAGAGAGTCCATTGTGCAACTTTATGTTAAACATCCATTCATTCCTAAATCTGTATACTAATTAAACAATCCTAACTAATTTTCATAGATGTAAAAATGAATAATAATAATAATAATAACCCCAGATTTTAAGAATCAAATACATAAGTTTTTGATTATTTTGAAGGTAAATTTGAAAGTTGTTGAATGTGGCGATACTCAACCATCTCCCTATTTATAAAATACTTTTAGATCTCGTTCTCTACTTTCTAAACGTGGTTTTAGTTCCAACCAACTGCTCAAAGTCAGAACATTTTCTGTAAGGTACATACATTGGTTCTTGTGAAGTAAGTTAAAGGTTATTTGGAACAAAACTATTGAAAGTATGCTTCAAAGGACTCTTGCAACTCAATATATTGTTACGTCTCCGTTTGTTAATTTACTTTCCATAACTTCGTTCCGACGAAACTTTAGCAACACAAGTCCTTACTTAATAAAACTAGTTTATTCTTTCTGAAT